ACTCGATGGCACATAACAACAACAATCAACTTCTTTTGACTTTAGTATATATTTAAAAAGTTGCACTACAATACCAAAGGCTTGCAGTTCAAATACATCAACTGCTCCATGGGAGAAGGATGCACAATCTCCTCCTGTGCGATTAACTGCCTTTGAAAACCCTCCAGAGGGTCAGCTATGGGTCAGTTCCAACTCTACGGTATACAATAACAACATATTACCACCAAGGAATGCAATCATTCATTTATTCACTTCTCTGCTCAACAATAGTTATCAGTTTGTTCAAGACACTAGGGATACAGTCAGTTTTTGTCCTTTGTCAATGTCATGTTGCTGCCAATTCACTGGTAATTGTGGGGGCACTGGATCAATTAGTATGAGCTTTGGTGGCAAAGTGGTTAAAATATTTCCCTGTTAACCAAAACAGCAGTTGTTTGAATATACCAGGTGCTCCATGGGAGAAAGATGTTGTAGTCTACTTTTTAAAAAGATGTACAGACTTGGAACAATAATGAATTTGGTTTTTGGGGTGGGGGAATCTACTGGGACTTTCTAAACTTGCATCCATATACACGGAATAAATGTACAAAACAAAAGCTGAGATATTTTAGAGACACCACAAAATTATTTCATGTAGGTATTTACACTATTAGATAAATCATCAATAAGGAAACCAATGATCATATTTCTCCTAACTATTACTAGTGCAGATATAGATTCATTATCAGTAAGCTCAATATTTCAAATATTTTAACAAAGAGGACAACTTGCCCATGAGCCCAAGAAATAGAAGAACTGGGGATGTTGTGAAAATTCCAACAAAGGAAATCATACTGATCTCCCTTCTCCCATGTAGATGCAATTTCTGCCCTCATGATGAAAGTCTATGGCTTGCTTTTTGAAACAATACAAGCAAATTAACATGACAAGAACACAGTTGGTCAAAGTATTGAGTCCAGTGGACTCAGAAATAAGTTGGAAAGTTATCCATAGGCCTTTTTTGTTTAATATTGATTTGCATACAAAATTCCAATACATTGTGTTCACACTTTCCTTCATTCACACTGTGTATCATACATATTCCCATATCGTATTTTATAAAATTAATCACCATTCATCTATCTATGCCCACCATTACCCTGTCATTTCAGGTCCCTTCTGGATCTTTCTCATTTCCTTCATCCCCTCCCTCGGCCCACCAAATTCTGTGACCACATGCTTTCCCTGCCAACTCTCAATACCCCCTGATTTCCCTTTTCCCCTTGGACTTTCATATACATTTTACTAGTTATCTTTTTTTAACATCTTTTTTTTACAATAATGGTTGTATGTTCCTTATGAGACTGAGTTAGTTCACTCAGCATAATGCTCTCCACTCTCTCATGTCATGGGCTGCTGACTTGCCTGAAACCCAGAGCAACGCTATGTACAGAAGCTCTGAAGCCTGCCCTGTCCTGAATCAATCTCACTAATTCACGTTATGTAGTATTTTTAAAAACTGTTGTTACTGAGTGCTGCGTAGTATTCCATTATGAGAGTGTACTAAAATTTCTCAGTCCATTCATTTGTTGTTGGACATTTGGGCTGGCTTTTTTTCTTAATGCCAAATAGTCCAAAAAGTCTAAAAAACCATTTTTTTAAAATTTCTAACATTTTGGTTTTCCTGATAGACCTTATAATCACTTAAAAAGTTTTCTATTTAAATTTGTAATTTTTAAATTATAAACTCTCATCATATAAAATAAAGAAGTACTGTATTTGAAAGAGACCACAATGATTTCATTACTTGAATCACTGTGGTGTTATTTCCATAGAATGATAAAATAAGCTGCATTGTGATTTTCATTATTTTGCCACAACTTAGAAGTAGCCAATAACATGACAAGACAAAATGTCTGTCTTACCTGTTACAAAGGCTGAATGGTAATAGCCACAAGAGATCCATGTGATAGGCTTCCCAATGGTCACTTGATGAGGGACACACACATTAGACAAATCATCTAAACCAAGTTGACCTTCAGAATTGTCTCCCCACATAAAAAGTTCTCCATCCTCTATAAAGAAAATTCAAAAGGGATGGAAGGTTTCAAAAGCTAGCAGGGATACACTGCTGTTGACTGTTGTGGAGCTGACATCCATGCACAAAAGAAGCAAACACTGCCCGGCTCCACACCATCCCACAAATCTGTTTCACAACAGACCATTGTGATCCATAGGGTTTTCACTGGCTGATTTTTGGAAGTTTATCAGCGGATTTTTCTTCATAGTCCATCTTAGTCTGGAACCTGTTCAGCATCATCGTACCCTCCACTGACAAACAGTGCTAGTTGCTTATGAGGTGCAATGGCTGAAAATCGAACCTAAGTCTTCAATGTGGAAGGTGAGAAGGGGACCACCGAACCAAGGCTTTAAAGAAATTCTATTTCCATGAAACCATTTGTTTTTTAATTTTGAAAAATTCTGAGTTTTAGGAGAATAGTACTACTAAGACATTCATTGCAACTAGTAACTCAGAGAGTTCAATTTCTCTCTAGAAATTGACAAATAACAAAGCATAATCTGATAATAACCCATTTTTGTTTAATTAGTTACAATGTTTAATCAACCCTAAGGGGAGCTATGGTGGCCTAGTGGTAAAAAGCTGTGCTGCAATCTTGAAGGCACATAGTATGAATCCACCAGTTGCTCCGCGGGATAAAGTTAATTGCATGGGAGGAAACTTCCCATCTTTCTCCCGCAGAGCAGCTTGTAGATTTGAACTGTGTGTCTTCAGGATTGCAGCGCAACTTTTTACCATATTTTTAATCCCTGCTGAAAACATACAGCCAATGAAAGATTAACTAAGCAGCAGGGTTGTGTCCAATTCAGAAGATTCAGCACACCTTGGTTTAAAGGGGGGGGGGTTCAGGGGGGTGTAAAAATGTCTTACCAGTTAAAGCTGCTGAAGTGTTAGATCCAGCGGAGAGCTGTCTGATCTTATGTTGGGATGTAAAAAAGGTAATTACATGAAAGGTTTCTCTGTCTTCGGTATCGCCAAGGCCTAACTGGCCTTCATTATTTCCGCCAGCCGAATACACACTGCCACCTTCTGCTCACAGAAAAGACAACATCAGATTTGTGACAGGTCCATGCACCCTAGAGATTTCTTCTATTAATAGTATAGAAAGCTAGATGCTGTCATTATCCAATTATTTTAGTGAACGACTTCATGTTAACATTTAAAAAAAAACCAAACCAACCACCACCACCCTAACCAAGCAAGGCCACATATTTTTAGAAACACTTCTACATTTTAACTAGCAAGTGAAATGCACAGAATGTGTGGAATGCATTTTCTTGCTAATGCTGAACTGCATGAATTCCGAACAAAAAGGGGGTAAGGCATTTTCAAATGCATTTAAAATGCAAATCAAACCATTTTTAACAAAATGAAGTTCATTAATTTTAACTTTTCAACCATTTAAAGGTAAGTTATAATAGATATACATAAGTTAAACAAGGCAAATCCATACAGAATGCAAGCAGAAACATGAAAATTCTATGTTGTAGAGTATCTTAAACTTTTACCTAAAGAGGAAGGTGTTTAGGAGGGAAGTTTGCAGAAGCAGGATGCGTGGGTACAAATTCCAGCTTACTACTTACCAGCTGTGTGACCTTAGGCAAGCTGTATTTACCCTTAAACTTTCTGTGCCTTACTTCCCTCATCTGTAAAACTGAAGTAATAATAATAATAATAATAATATCTACTTCCTAGAGCTATTATTAGGATTAAACTAGTCATCATTTATAAAATGCTTAGAAGAGTATTTGGCTCCACATAAGCACTACACAAATGTCTGTTGTTACTTTCTTAATTAAATAAGAAGCACCTCCAGCCTAGATTACAACTATGTCCTTTTTTTAAAAAAAAAACAACTATATATTAAATTAAGTTCATTTGTCAGGTAAATGCACATGAAGTTAAAATAAACTCTCACTAAATTCTAAGGAAAACAGAGGAGAAAAAAAATAAAAATTTTATTATTAGCTATTATTTCAAATAATAATGAAAGCCAATTGAGGAAACAAGTCCAGAACTAAAATGGAGGTGAAGTCAATATTGCATGGAAGTAGCCTTCCAAATTTCGCACACACAAAAGAAACTAGAGTTAGTAATATGTTAAAATCATCCAGAACAGGCTAGGTGAGTATTACAGCTCTACAGAAGGAATAAAACTTATGTGAGACCTCACTAGAAAAGCAGAATCTGAATAGGCTGAAAAAGGAAAGAGGGGATAAAAAATAAGCATTGCGTTGGAACAGATGAAGGAAAGAACTGTTTAAAAGGAATATATGATTAGGCATTATATGTATGACAACATCCCAAAATAAGAGCTACATTGTAAAGAGGACTAAGAGGAGATAGGGAGGGAGGTAATTATACAACAATGAATGAATATTTTTAAAAAAGTGAACTGGAGGAAGGGTGGCATGTGCAACAATGAATGAATGAAAATCTAACATTTCTATAAAGATCAAGTGTAGTATTTGTTCTTATCAGTTTAAAATCACAAATAAAGAAAAAAATTGATTTTAAAGAAGAGAAAGAAATGGAAAAGTATGAGTGAATAGAAACTGAAGAAGTGAAATCAGGCAGCCCACAGAAGCAGAAGCTGTGTGTGGAACCAAGGAGGCAGGATTGTTCACTGAGCAGGGCCTGGGGTCTGACTGTTCTAGCAACATTTGTTAAAGATGCTTTCCTTTCTCCACTGACCTGTTTTGGCCCTCTGCAAAAAAAAAAATTAAGTTGGGCAAACACATATGGGTCTATTTCTGAATTCTGTTCCATTAATCCACGTCAATCTTTTCTCTAATAGCATTCTGCCTTGATTACTGTAACCTTATAAGTCTCAAAATCAGTTAATGTGAGGCCTCATTATTTTTTCAAAGTTGTTTTGGCGGATCTAGGTCTTCAGCTGTTTTACAAATATTTTAGAATTGCCTTGACAGTTTGTACACGTTCTGGGGGAATAAAAATGGCTGTTAGCATTTTGACTGGAATTGCCCTGATTCACACCAACACCTCCATGCATGGCTTTCACTCACCCTGAGTGAGGAAGAGGGTCCAGCAAAAATAGAAGGCACCAGGTGTATAAACAAGGAAGGAGATGCGGCTCCTTGACATAACCTGAGAAAATAAGCTTCCCCCCAGCCATTCAATAACGTTTCCCCTATTTTCAAAGGCAAATAAATACACTAATCATTTACATTTTTTAAAACCTCCAAATTACTGTTGCGAATTTATCTTTACTATTAATTTTACAAAGCCAAAAAATATTGCTGGAGTGAGAATAAATCCTTAGATCTAGGAAGAAGTCACCTGGCTTGTATATCCTACCTGTTGCAACCAAGGTGTGGTTCCTTCCACAAGCAGCAAATTTCACTCTTTCCGGCTTTAGGGCTAAAAAATATCAAAGTATGACAACTGAAATATTTTTGTGGTTATGAAAATTATAAATAATCCAGGTCAAATGGTAACTAAGAAGTGGAACTGAAATTTAAATTCAGCTCTATCTGATTCCAATGCTTTTGACTACTAAATCAGAATTTTTCAGAAGTAGTTTGCATCATAATAATCAGTGGACCTTTGGAAAGAAATCCAGATGGGTAAGCTCATGCCTGAAGAGTCTGAGGTAGTCAGTCTGAGAGAGTCCCTGAATATTTTAATTATATTTTAATTCCATAGGCAATTAATATGTCAAGATATCTGGTATATTCTCCTATACTGCTTCCTAGAAAATATTTATTTACTAATTTGATCCATTATCTATTCTACTATCACCATTTTCAAACTTACCTCAAGCCTGTGAGATCAGTATTTATAGGTATACCTGCATGAAAACCAATGGTTAAGTGTTTTACTGGTAACCAAAAGGTAGCTTAATAGGCACTTTGCAAGAGAAAGATGTGGCATCTTGCTTTCCTAAAGATGTACAATCTGTTTAACAAAATCTACTACCATTGAGTCAATTCAGACTCAAAGTGTCCCTCCCTATAGGACAGAGAAGAATGGCTCCTACAGAGTTTGCAAGGCTGTAAATCTTTACAGAAGCATACTATCACGTCTTTCGCTCACAGAGCTGCTGATAGGTTCAAACCACTGATCTTGTGGTTAGCAATCAAGTGATTTAATAGCACTAGGACTTTAAGATGCTAAAGGGCATATTTCTCTGTTAAAGTGCTAAAGCTGATCAGTTATTTGTTTTAAGAAATATTTACAAAGTATCTCCTAAGTGCTTATAAAGACAGGTCACTGGTCTCACGGATAATGTTAACATTCTGTTAGTTTATTCAGCTATTTGACAGTAAGGACCAGTTATCATGGATACTCCCAATGTGTAGTAAAATGTGCTTTTTCACCACATAGAATACTTTCAAAGTTCCATAGTAACTAATTACAAACATTCACCCACTCACTCTCATTACCACTGAGTGAGAACTGACTCATAACTGACTCCCAACTGGGTTTTGGAGGCTGTAAATTGCATGGGAGAAGATTGCCCATCTTTCTCTCATGTTAACTGCTGGTGGATTCGAACCATTAGAGACTCATAACCTCTGGGTTAACAGCACAACTCCCTATAGGCTATGCCTCCATAGGAATGTAAATTACACTGAAATTTGGAACTGAAATAAAAACTCTGGCCAGGAAGATAAAGAATCCTACTCTTTCACATCCCAAGGAATCTATCAGCATTTTCAAGTTCAGTTTATGTTCACAGATTATAATAAAGGTTTTGAAAATATAAGGAAGAAGGCTTTGTAAAGGGTATTAGACATTTCTTAGTTTCTGAGAGAGTCTCAATATATTTGGATATTTTGTCCCACTGTTTTTTTAAGAACACTTGCTGTTTGTTGTTGGTAGTGTGTGCTGGTAAGCCAGACCCAACTCATAGCTGACCCTCCAGTGCACTTTCAGAGGCAGTAAATAGCATGGGGATGGGGAAGACTGCCCATCCTTATCCTGTGGAGCAGCTAGTGGATTTAAACTGCAAGCCTTTCTTTGCTAATCGATTCCTGTGGTCTGTTCAATACTGGCTATACACAGCAAAGTCAAATAATTTTATACAACCAGGGAGTACATTAGGAGTTCTGTTAAACCAAAAATCAGTGGTTCAAATCTACCAACTGCTTTAATGGAGAATGATTATATTGCCTTGAGATCCTGATGTAGACTCCTTTTGCGTCAAAACGGACTGACAAAATAATGAGTAAAAGATGAGGCAACAAAGACGTGTGATAGCTGCATTTCTAATAGAGCTCAAGATTAGTATAAGCTATAACTGGACAGTAACTTTGACCGTCTACATAAGTCAGTTTGGATTTTCTTTGGTTCAGTTTGTCTTTATACACCATAATGGTGATATTGAAGTCATTTCATAAACAAGCAAAAAAGAAATAAGAAAGCATGCTCAAATATATTTTTTGTGGTCTTGGGATTACAATCAATATAGTTCACAGATCCTAACAAATAATATTTCTGAATGTTACAGAAAAATGAATTTCAATATTTATAAGAGAAATAAATATACGATAAAGAATAGATTCTTTTACCAATCATGGCATGAAAAAAAGGCATGATCAAAAGTAACTTATGTAGCTTGCTAAGTGTAAAGTGATAAAGAGAATCCCAAACCTTTGACACAAGTTGGTTTGCAGACTGTTGATTTCGATCCTAATCCTAACTGGCCCCAGTTGTTGCTGCCAAACATGTAAAGTTTATTATTGCCTGGTGGGAGGGAGAAAGAAATAAATTCAAGCATTTTTCACCAATTAGTATGAGAGGAAGTCATCACAAAGCAATAAAGAGGACTTATACCTACTCCTCATTTATTAACTATCTCATTCTCAAGACATTTTACATTTATAACCATAATGTCTACAGACTATTTTGTTTATTAAAGACATATATCTGGAGACACTACTGAATTAATCAATTATAAAAAATGTATAAAAGACTGAATGAAAACCAATACGATCTATAAACTTTTACTCAAATAAAAAACTTTTTGTAGAGATAAAAGAAAAAAGACCTGAAAATACACGCTAAACTATAAGGGGCAAGGATTGGGGGAAAGCCATACATCTGGCTGGCAGCAACAAATGTCAAGCTGAGGGTAACGCTGACTATGATGGTTAAGTCTATATGTCAACTTGGCTGGTCCATACATAATTCTCAGTGGTATATCAGGTATGTAATGATGCAATTTGACAGTTATGTAATAAAGTAATCATCCTCCATTTTCTCACAATGCCAATTTTTACACAATAATCTGGCTTTTGGAACCTAGTCATGTTGACAAGTAGTAGGTGTATTTAGAATTATTAGTGCATTTCCATATTGAAACAGGTCACTTTACACATCTATCTACCTATCCAGATTCTGTTAGCTATAAAAAAGTTTCTACAATTACACAGTAATAGTTTCTCAATTATACAGATACATTACAATGATTTAATGAATGCTGCATATATAAATATATAATAGAAATAAATTTATTTTATAAATTTAAAACATATTAAGCAGCCCTGGTGTATAGAGTATAATGTACTGGGCTTCTAATCAAAAGGTTTGCAATTTAAATCCACCAGCTACTCCATACGAGAAAGATGGGTACTATATCAGAGTATCAGAGAGATTTTACAGCCTCAGAAACCCATCAGAGGGTCACTATGAATTGGAACCAAATCAACAGCAGTAGGTTTGGTTTTTAACTTGGTAAGAAAGCTCAGAAAGCTGGACAATGAGCAGAGATGATAGAAGGAGAATTGACGCCTTCGAGCTATAGTGCTGGAGAAGAGTACTGAATATACCATGGACAACTAGAACAAAAAAGGATTATCCTAGAGAGAGTTAAACCAGGCTGCTCCTTGGAGAGAAGGATTCTAAAGCTCCGTCTGACATATTCTGGGCGTGCTGCCAGGAGGGAACAGTCCCTGGAGAGGGACATTATGCTTGGAAGTGTGGAAGGACAGCTCAAGAGAGGAAGATCTCCAATGAGATGGATTGACTCAAGTGACTGGAGTAATGGGGGTGGGTGTGTCAGAGACAATAAGGTTGGCTCAGGATAGAACAGAGTTGAGAGCTATGTGTACATAGGGTCCCTACGAGTCACTGGCAACTTGATGACACCTAACAACAACAACATAAGAAGGTTCAGAATTTCTAAGTCTTTTTGATGAATCAATTTTGGAGAAATTCTATAGCAAAATTTTTTAAACCTTTGAAAACACAGCACATCTGGTGGAATGATTTGGAAAAAACAATAAAAATGAATATCCAACTCAAAGAATATGGTCTATATGACTTAAAAGAATATGTCATTGACTTACACATGTAGAAACTGTTAAGACAACAGATGTTTGCTATATATACCTTCATCGTGATAAAATAAATGAAAACAACAAAAACATTTAAAATTCTTTAAATATAGCTCTTCTCATTTAGGGCTTTAATACTGACCTGTAACAAGAGCGGTATGCTCATCTCCACATGAAATATGTATAGGTACATCATTTTTAAACCAAAACTTGCTAGGAAGATTTTCTGCAATTTTGGTTTTACCAAAAGTAAACACAGCACCAGTATCTGCAAATATATTTTACAACTTTAGTACAAACTGTATGTATGTGTGTGCACATGTGCATGAGTGTATGTATGACCTATTAAAATAATTTTTCAGTAATGAGCTAGACTAATTTCTTGTCCAATCCAGCACTGTTTAGAGCCCTCTTAATCCAGTCTTACAGTTTACATTCCACTGGGATCTATGAAATCTACTAAATTGAAAAAGATATTACTTATTTATGAATATTAAGTAAGATATACACTATGCTGTGGAAAACAATTCTCTGTAACTAAACCCTGTGACTAGAGTGCTCCTTGAAGACAAGGATAGGAAGCTTCACCTCACATACTTTGGGCATGTTGTTAGGAGAGGCTATTCCTTGGAAAGGGATGTGATACTTGGAAAGGTTGAGGGTCTACAAAAGAGAGGAAGAAACCTCAACTAGATGGGCTGATACAGTGACTGCAGTACTGGGCTCAAATGTGTCATGGATAAGGACAGCATAGGATAGGGTTTATATCTGTTGTTCACAGGGCTGCTATGAATTGTTCTCAACTTGATGCCACTTAACAACAAACAAGCCCTGTACCATTTGGACCTTTAAATGAACTGATATACAATAAGCCTTGCTTACTGTGGTTAACACCTCTACTCTGCCTCCTGACTGAGGGTTTTTCTCCACATCTTCTTCATCGGGATATTCCACAGTGAATCTTAACTCTTCAGGTCTTGCTGTCTCCCTAAGAAGTGTTCTTTGGTACTCCCACTTCAAGCTGGTGTCTGGTGGCCCTTGACATTACTGTTAAACTACATTATTATTTTCTTTACTTTCTTGTCTCACTAAGATGGGAACTGTAGAAGGATTGCTGTTGTTGTTATGTGCCATGAAGGCAATTATGACTCACAGAGACCCTAAGAACAACAGATCTGAACCCTGCTCTATCCTGTGTAATCCTCATCATTCCTGGCACACTTGATCCCACCACTATAGTCACTGTGTCAACCCTTCCTGTTCCTTAGCTAGCCCTCCACATTTCAAGCACAGTGTCCTTTTCCAAGGACTGGTCCCTTCTAACAACATGCCCAAAATATGTCAAATGACGTTTCACTACCTTTGTGTACCTGTGTTTTTTCCAAGACACTGGGATCTAATAATATTAGAGGCAAGACCACGGCAGGAAAAGCAGAATTCTATTCCAGCTTAGTTTATCCTGACCCAATATTGGCTCAAGAAATCAACGTTAAAAAAGAAAGAAAGATAGAAAGAAAGAAAAGAAAATAAAATCAACATACAGGGTCACAACCAGCATTTTTTAATAGTTTTCTTCTTTTTTAAAATTTTATTAATTTTAATAAACATTTACAGAGATTTTGGATTTCCATTCATTCACTGTTGCACTTTTTTCTCTACCCCCCTTCCCCCCCACCCCAGTTCGCTCCTCTCTTCGAAAAACAAAAGCCAGCATTTTTAAAGAAATTATCTGAGGGCATACACCAATGGTTAGAATAAGTACTGCTTCATGAAACGTTTACTATTTATTGTCAGACTGTGTTTCTACCGTGGTGTTAAGTCACAGTGTAAATCCTATTTCTGCAGAGTTCAGAGATAGAAAAGTATAAGAAATCACTTTAACTAAAAAATATCTCTTAATCCCCTTCCTCCAAGACATTTCCTTACATTTCTCTTTTGTCTTATGCCCGGTTATCGACTTTTCAACACATTCAATACGTAACTGAACACCACGCATCTCAGCGCGAACAACTCTGAAGTACATTAAGTTTATAAAAAGATTTTTTAAAATGCCCTTGTATTCGAGAAAATTACTGAAAACATTTCTAGGAACAGAAATGCCCTCCGCCGTCTCCTCTTCCTCCCGGTTGAGCGTCACCCTCCTCTGGACCCTTTCCCTTCTCTCCTTTAGCCGCGCAATCTTGGGATGCCATGGACCTGGCCCGTCCGAAAATGGGGCCGGTCTGGAGGCGGAGTCTGGCCCCGGCCCTCCCGCGGACCCTCCCTCCCGGCCCGCCAGCACCGCGGAGGGCAGGACTCACCAGGCGCCGGCTCCTCGGACTCCTCCATGCCTAGGGTCGTGGTGGACGCCTGCCCTTGCGCCTGGAGCGGACTGGGAACGACTGGGCTTCACTTAAAGCGACCGTTCAATCCCGCCACAGGGGGCAGAATTCCCACGTACCCGCATAACGGCACTCCGAACACAGCAACCAGCTCGTTCCCGGAAGTCAACAAACAGCCGCTAGGGGCAACGGAGGCGGAGTCTCTGTCGCGAGGCGAAGCAGAAAGGGGCGGGGCGAGGGAGGGGGCGCTAGAGGGAGCTGCCACTGCGCAGGCGCACAGGCTGCGGGCGAGGCAATAGTGGCCGGGCGCCCTCTTGCGTATCGGAGGGGTGGCGAAACCACACAGTTCAGTCGAATGCCCCAAGCTGTATCTTGTACTCGCAGGCCCTCCATAGGCACTTTGTCACAATAGTGACAAACGTCAAAAATATCACATACTGCTCTCTCTTGAGCTATGTAGCTTACAGACGTAGACACACAATTATGATACGTTGGTAATAAGTGACTACTAAGGGAGCTGCCAACTCCATGGCACTTGGTTCAAATCCACTACCCGCTACGCGGGGAAAACGATGCTCCATGTAATTTACAGCTTCTGAAAAGATGCTGGAAGGTCATCCATAAGTCTGTTCCAACTCGATCAGAAGTGACGACAACCTTATTGAGCTAAGCACTCAGCTAAATACTAAATCTTGAATTGTATTTGTATTTCTGTGATCTAAATTAAGGCTGATTATATACCTGAGATTGTATATACATATATATTTGATGTTCAGTTCATATTTCCTGAAGGAACAGATAATGTTACACTCCTGTAGAATGGTTAATGTTATCCCATATAAAGCTATGGAGTTTGCCTAATGCCCAATGGTTCCAGCTTAGGCCTCCAGGTTAGGCAGTCCAACTTACATCAACACTTGGCATTGCAAAATAAAGAGCCAAAACACCATCTTCCATGAGAAATAACATTATGTTGTGAGCTTGGGCCCTAGCATCAAAGTTGGATTCAAGAATCCATGAATTCCTTATGTGTGAGGACTCTTTCTCAAGGAGTTTACATAGAAAGGTGGAGGGGCATTTTAACTACTCAGCACACAAATGATTTACTTACCAAAAAAAGTGCAATTACTAAAACAATGTTTAACAAGGGGCATTGGGCTGGTGTTGGAAGTTAACAAAGGCTAACAAAGAAATTACATTGAATCATAAAGACTAGAAAAACAAGAAGCTGGAAGGGGTGAAAAATCTGGACAAAGAGTAAATAGCATGCAAAGGCTTGTACTGGATTCTTTTCAGAAACTCAAAGAGAAGAGGTTGGCTCATGGCAAAGGTCTTGGGACTGTTAAAAATGTGAGGTTTTCTCCTAAGGACAATGGGAAAGTGTTGAGAAATTTTTACGTGAATATCAATCTATATGTTCCTGAAATCACTCCTCCTGCTGCGTGGTAAATAAATTGAAGCAGGGAAAAGGGTTCAGAGGTTAGTGCAGAAATTCTGAAAGCTAGTTTTTCTTCCTGATTACAAAACATTCCTGAATAAGGAAGTAGAATTCACAGAGGTGGTGTCTGACCATAGGCTTCTAGACAGTACTGGACTATTAAACAGCTCATGACACAACAACAAAGCAGTCAACCAACCAAACCCACATGGACTCTAGCAACTCTGTATGACAGGGCAGAACTGCCCCATAGGGTTTTTCAGGAGGGAGCTCTGGTGGATAAAGAGTTTCGCTGCCACCTCAAAGGCAAAAGGTTCAAATCTACCAGCTGCTCTACAGGGGATCTTCTATGCAATATACTACCTCTGAAAACCCAATGGAGGGTCAGCTAAGAGTAGTTCTGACTTGACAGCAAATAACAACACATAAATCATCCTTATGGGAGCCTACCCCAAGGTTTATGTTCCCACAGAGTTGGTTCTTAACTACTGTGCCACCAGGGCTCTGTCAGTAGCGAAGACCCCAGACCACCTGGTATTGCCAAGTTGAATCCAAGTCACAGTAACCTTACAGAGCAGAGTAGAACTGCTCCATAGTACTTCCCAAGCTGAAATTCTTATACAATAAATCAGATTCTGACTCCTACATCTTTCTTCTTAGAGGGGCAATAGGTACAAAGCATCTACCTTTAGGTTGACAGTCAAGTGTTTTAACCACTAAGCCATAAAAGGTCTTAAGAGAAATGGAGGGACCCAAACATATTTTTTGAAAATAGTTTATATTCTTTTAAAAAGCATCATAAGACTCACCATGAGACATAATCAGCATTTGTAAGGACTTTGTCACAATGTTTCAGTTTATGTTTTTATTTCAAAATACAGTATATTTTGGTGCTGAACATTCTTAAAGGTACTGATCTAGTCCTACTCTCAGGTTTCCACCAGAACTAAGTGGGGAGAGAGAGATGCTGTTTCCTGAGATGGGGAACACTGAGGAAGGAACAGGTTGGGTTAGAATTAGGTAGGTAGGTAGGTGGAACATGCTGAGGTCACCCTTGAATCGACAGAGACCTCAGATGGAAGGTGTTGAGCTGAGCAAGGGAAAGATGGGCAGAAGCCCCATTTGGAGGTTTTTCCTTGTGGGATGCATGGATATATGTGGTGATAACAGCTGTGAGGATGCATGAACACCTGGAAAGTGACTACAGAATGTGAAAAGAAAAGCTAGGATGGTCTTGAAGGATGCCACTACTTAGCTCAGCTGAGCTCAGCTAAGGAACATGAAGCCGAAAGGAGAACCAAATGATCAGAAAGAGAAGTGAAAACTAGTAGAATATTCTGTCAGTGAAGCAGATGGAAAAGCATCTAAACCAAGAGGGTGTGTTCGTTCATACTATGTAATGTTCAGAAATTGAGGAAGATTAAAACTAGGTGTCCCATGAACTTAGCACTGTGGAGGTCATTGTTGTGTGTCATCAAGTTGGTTTTGACTCACGGTTGACCCCATGTGACAGAGTCACACTATTCCAGAGAGTTGTCTAGGCTGTAATCTTTATAGGAACAGATCATTAGCTCTTTCATCCACAAGGCAAGGATGTGGACTTGAACCATCAGTCTTTAGTCAGCAACTAAGTGCTTAACCACTGCACCCCCAGGGCTCCTTCCAGACAAAAACTCAAAGCCACTACTGTCAAATAACTTCTGACTCATACTCTATCAGATGATTTTTGGTTTTGTTAATTCACAAAATCCACCACCATCTAGTAGATTCCAACTCACAGCAACCCTCCATCAGTTTCTAGGCTGTAGGTCTTAATGGAGGAAACTTCTCATCTTTCTCACTTGGAGCAGCTGGTGAATTCACACTGCTGGGGAGGTGCAGCCTTTGGGGTAGCAGCATAAGCCACAACACACTCTGTTACCAGAGCTCCTACAGGGCTCCTTGTTATTGTCATGACTGTTATGTACCATTGAGTTTCTTTCTCCAGAGTTCCTTGCTGTCATTGTTATTGTGTATAGACTAGGCATAACTGACTCATAGCTGACTTTCCAGTGGGTATTTAGAGGCAGTAGATCACATAGGAGGAGATTGCCCATCTTTTTCTCCATGGAGTGGCTGGTGTATCCAAACATGTGCCTTTGAATTGGCCACGCAACATCTTATCACTAAGCTACCAGAGCTCTCTCAGAGCTTATTAATGGTGTTAAAAAATAACTGTATTGAAGGAAATAATATTGAAGTGTGAGAGAAGCTGGGCAAAAGCATGAAAATTAGCTTTTTAGAGAATGTGGCATGAAAGGTGAGGGCAACCACAGGTAAGTCAGTTAAATAGCACACTCTGTTAAACACCAGGGAGCTCTGGTCATGCAGCCCATTGGGAGTTGTGCTGCTAATCCAAAGGTCATACCTCTCTGAACCCACCAATCTTCTTTCATGCCTCAGAAACTCAACTGGGGTTCAACTATGACTCAGTTCTAATTTGATGGCAATAAATGAGAGGATTATTAAGCTTGGAGAGAACTGGGCATATTGAAAGGCAAAATTTAATAGAAAGCAAGGGAATGAAGATTCAGGAGAGTGAGAAAATAACAATATGCAGTAAAAGTGATGGCATCCTGGTCACAAGTGGTGGGACTGGGATTTGCTAGAAGGAGAAAATACTTGAAGAGAGAAAGGAAGCCCTCCATTTTCTCTTAGTTAAAGTGGTGATAATACTATTGCCTACCTTAGAAAGTTCTTGTGAGATACTAGAAAATAGATGTAAAATTATAGGCTTGTAAAATTATAGGCACTTGACATTGTTAGCTATTTGTAATGAGGCAAAGTCATCCGTGGTCACTGTATCCATCAGTATTATCTAGGCTGTGCTGCAATGCAAAAAATAAGCAAGCAAAAAACTACGAAAAAAAACCCCAAACCAACCAAAACCTCCAAACCTTTGAGCTGTGGTCTTGGAGAGGAATGCTAAAGATCCAGTGGACTGCAAAAGAACCAAACAGGTATGTCTTGGAAAAAGTGCAGCTAAAGTGCTTCTTGGAGGCAAAAATGATGAATCTTCTTCTCAGATACTTTGGGCATTTTGCTAGGAGAGGTTATTCCTTGGAGAGGGACATGATGCTAGGAAGGGTCAGCGAAAAAGAAGACCCTCAGCAAGGTGGACTGACACTGCAACTGTGACAATGAGCTTCAATATGTGTCAGAGAATAAAGATTGTGCAGCATAGGACAGTGTTCAAAC